AACATGATGCCTAGTAAAGGCATTACTATGACGCTGAAGATGCTTCTAACATCATATTAGGAACAATTATTCTAGATTTCCAGGAAGTCTTGGATAATTTAGATGTATATATGATGATATATCAGGTTAAGCAAATATTCCAACAATACATTGATATTTATTTTGAGCCAGTTCAGACAATGGAATTATGCAAGGCTGAAAAGAGTCACCATGTGTGATCTAAAAGACACATAGTTTATGGAATGGATACCTTTAGGCCCAAGAAATCCAAGAAGGCTCACACACATGGATCATGTTTCTTTTGTGAAGAAACAAGATACTGGAAAAGGAATTGCTCCTTTATCTAAAAAGAAAGTTTGGAAGGGACTAGTAGTTCAAGTATTTACTAGATAAAACTTATGATTTTCATTTAACATTCAAGTACTTGGTAATTAATGTTAATCTAATATTTGTAAATGACTTGCAAATATTTACAGAAGAGTAACCAGTTAAGCACAAGCAAGTTAGAACTACACTCTCGAAGTTTAGTTTATTATTTATGCATAGAACATAAAGTACTTGTAATGTAAAGTAATATTTGTTTTGGAACAATGTATGTTTTAAATTTAGTCTGTCTAAATATATGTCTCAATTAAATTATCAAATCATTGATTATTTACTTAAATCGTTTTTAATAACGCTCACTTCATATTCTGTAATGATTAAAATTCTATTTATGAGACTAGGTCTTTTAATAAGAATTATCAATGTTTTATAAATAACAAGTTCTATGTGCAAACACTTTTGACTTAAACTTGTTTTGAATCAAACTTATCTATGACATTGTTATCTATATTATTTAAATAAAATTCACAGATTCCAACTTCAAAAAATGGTTTTTTGAAGGAAAATAATGTAATTTATTTGGCATATGTGAATCTTATTTATATATAAAAGATTCATAATGATATTTTCATTAAACTATAGAGAAAATATTTATCAAGGAACTATACATTGTGATGTATGACTTCCTTTCTAATGAATGTCTAAGATTTAGCAAAAGATACCAAACGAACCTTATTAAAAACTGTAGTCGTTGTAATTATATTTTACATAATAAAACATAATTGTGAAATCTTTGTTGAAATTTTCAAATATAAAGTCACCAAATCCAAGAGGAGTCAAATGATTTCACTACCATGTTGGAGAAAATGTTTTTGTGATTGTGTGAAGTGGAAACCACACAAGAACCACTTGCTGCTTGCTAATTTGAATATCCATTACTTAATCAAGAAATTAGCCAACTAATTACTACAAATACATTTAAACTCATGAATAAAAACATACAAGTAGCAAAAAAGATGTTAATACATAAAACGTTGTCATAAAGATTCAAGAACAAGTTCACGAAATTCTTTAATATTCAACCAAATATTCAAATGACTTCACCAAAGTCAACCAAGATTAGTTTAGCCTAACATGACTAAACTCAAGAAAACAAAGTAAGAGTAGATTGTACCAAACATTTTGCAAGAATCAAGAGCAAAAATATGATGTTTTTGATGTGTTCTTGGCCTTCAAAATGCTCCCAAAATCCCAGAGAATCCTCCAAAATTCGGATGTGAAGAAGTGTCCAAAAGATGCACACCAACCTTCCTCAAATAGCACTAAAGACAAATTTCCAAATCTAGCCCTGCATGAAGTCACACGGGCCGCATGACTTTCTTGTGCGGGCCGCATGAGTTGGCTAAGAATGGGCCACTTCCATCTATTGGGCCTGCACTGCTTTAGCCCACTGGTCCACTTCTTATCCTTTAGACCGTAACCCACAAATCTTCAAGTTTTCTTCAATTTAAACCCAATTTGTCTTCTCCAAATCCTACAGAGCTCGAATACTCGATCGATCAATCAATTCCACAAACTTAAATATTTATTCCATCTCCTTTTAAGCGCATGATTCTTCATTATCCTCCAAGTCCATTTGAACCCCTCAATCCCGAACATCTCCGCTCCATATTAGTATTCTAAAAATCTGGAATCATGCTCAAAGACTATAAACAACCCGATTAAAGATAAAAAATAATAATAAGAGGAAATATGCATAAAGACTAACTAAAATGAGATGATTTATGCTAAAATAAACTAGAAAAAGAAGTAAATAAAATGAAACTATCAACTAAGGTGGTGATGTTTGTTTTTTTTTTCTTACAAGATGTTTTTTAAGACATGAAAAATCTTCTAAATCTTCTGGAGACTTTGTAACCCTAAAAAACCAGTCTTATTTTTTTCAAACTACATTCTTCAAACAATTTTCTTCCACCACCATCGCCACCTCAGCTGCTACTACCACATACACTACTTCTGTCGCCACCGCTGCCACCAACACCACCACCGCCTCTGCTACCTCAACCACCACCACCTCTACCAACTATGTTGCCGCCACCATCACTACCTTTACAACTACAATCACCCCTGCCAACTCGGTCATCACCACCACCACTCCCTTCGTCACCATCTCTACCCCTTTGCCATCATCCATTGCCACCGCTATTACAACCATCACTATCACTTTTTATCACCTCCACTACCACAACCTTTGCTACTGTCACCACCCCCATATCCACCCACTTCGCGGTCACTACTACCACCACCACCTTAACTATTTTGCACCAACTTCTTTTCCTTATTTTTACGATGGAAAAACCATCAAAGAGAACGATCATGGGGCTTTAAAAAAATTTACGAGTTTCCTATGAGTGAGAAATATGTATCTACTGAATTCCTTTCGTATCATTTAGGGGGTGTTTTGGATGCTTTTTAAGTGACTTTTTGACTTTTGGTTTTTCGAAAAAGTCAAAAAATTCTAAAAGATGTTTGACATTTGCAAAAGACAATTTGAAATTAACTTTTTGGCAAGAATGAATGAGTGGTTTTTCAAAAGACAAGTCGTGAGTTTTTGTGACTTTTACTTTCTTAAAAGATAAATTACATTCAAAAGTCAAGAAATATTAGACAAACACTTTTTAAAAATGATTTTTGACTTTTGCCTCCTCAAAAGTTAAAGTCAAAAAATTCTTTTAAAAAAAACTTTTTAGCTTAAAAAACAATCCCAAACACCCCTTAATGTTGTTTAACAACTTCAAATTGTTTTTGAGGAATGAATCAACTTTGTACACCCTATTGGGAATGGAAGACGAAAACTAGTTTCTTAGAGTAATTTACGCTGTGACTCTGTGAGCGTAGGGGATTTTTTGTAAATTATATTGGGTTTAGCGTTGATGAAAACAATCATAAGGAATATTTTCTCTTAACACGTAAGTAAGAGATAAATGACTGCCCCAAAATTAAATGAACTCTAATATATGTGATTGCCCAGAAACTCCATATCTAGATTGTTTAGTTTTTTATTTGGCTTCCAAGATATATATATATATATATATATATATATATATATATATATATTATTTTGTTTCTTATATTTATTGTGTGTTAGAATGCACCAATAAGAATTTAGTAAATTAAATAATTAATTAATTAAATAAATATAGATATTAAATGATTTTCATAATTATATGTATATTAAATGATATCCATAATTATAATTCTCTTTTTATGGAAACTAATTAAATCCGTCATTAATGTCAGCAATAACATTCTTTCAGAATAAATTCGCATCTATGTTTTTATATATGAGTTTGTATTTTGTTTCAGGACACTTAAAATACAATAAAGTTTTATGGAATATGAAGAACGAGAGTGTATTCTACTAGAATACAATCTCATTCTGCTGGAATACACTCTCATTCTTCTAGATATGAATTCATTTTGAAAGAATATTATTGTTGACATTAATGACGAATTTAATTAGTTTCCATAAAAATGAATTATAAGTATGGATAACATTTAATATACATATAATTAATACTAAATTCTTATTGGTTAATTCTAGCACACTGAGAAACATTTGAACCTATATATATATATATATATATATATCTATATATATATATATATATATATATATATATATATATATATATATACTCACACACACACACATTGTAAAAGCGACAAGTGTAGGTTTGTGAGACGAACAAAGGGTAAAAAGCTCGATTTTATGAAATATTGGAGATGAAGAAAGAGTAATTTTGGATTAAATTTTTGGAGACGAATAAAGATTAGAAGGTAAAACTTGATTTTTTAGAATTTTCAAGCGTAAGTTGTTTTGGCTTTGAATTTGTCCAATGGTTGTTAGTTCCAAACACGGGGTATCAACCGAAGATTTTGATAGTGGTGGTCTTCTCAAAGAAGAGAGAGGAAGTCGGAGAAGATACATAAGTAGCGGTGTCAATTTATGGTATGCCACGACAAAAATACACGACACGAAACAAAATTGATACGAAATTGAAATTCGAATTCGTGTTCACGTTTTGTTCGTGTCAAGTGTAAAAAACACGAGTTTGTGTTTAAAATTCGACACAAAATTAACACGATTTAACATGTGTTTATCGTGTTTGTCGTGCTATATGTGATTAAATATGAATTAAAAAACTAATAATTGAATTGTTTCATGTTTATCATGTTTTAATCAATTCGTTTTCATGTTAATGAAAATAAACACGGCATCGCGTCATGTCGTATTAGTGTTATATAAAACGTTGTCGTGCTGTGTCACACAAAAACACGACACAACTGTTCGATTTGACACCCCAATACATAAGACGACTGGAGATGGGGTGTAGGGTGGGGGTGGGATGAGGTATGGTGGGTCCCTTTTTAGTTTTATATCATTAAAATTGCAATCGATTATAAGAAAGAAAAAAAGTTATTGAAAAAGGTAAAAATAGTCTTTTTATACGGAGAAAGAAAAACATAATTTCTTTAACCAAATGGATGAGTCTTTTTGAACTTTTTAGAGTTTTGAGGAAAAGTACAAATATGAGCAGACATATGGACCAAAACTGTAATTTACTCAAAAAGAAAATATATACAACCAAACATAGGATGATACAATTATTTATGTAATTCAAACCAAAATAATATAATCATAAAACTCGGAAGGAACTCCGTCCAACCACTCCCATTGACACTACAAATAATCATCCTCTCTTCTCAGTTGTTACTGCTACAATTCATTTCCTTCGTCTGTTCATCAGATCTACTCTCGTTCTTTTCTTTTGCCCAAAATCTTCCATTCTACCTGAAATTGGGGTTTCCGATATACAGAAATGAAGGAAGATTCGCCAAATGATTTGGAGAAAAGCTATTTCGATGTATTGGGTTTATGTTGTTCGTCGGAGGTGTCACTGATCGAGAAGATTCTTAAACCTCTCGAAGGCGTTCACCATGTCTCCGTCATCATTCCTTCCAGAACTGTAATTGTGCTTCACGACGCCGCCTTAATTTCTCAATTTCAAATTGGTAAACTCTTTCTCTCACACACACTTACATCTGTTTGAGAATTAGATTTACGATTTTCATTTTAAGCGTTGAAGGAATAGGTTCAAAAGCTAAAACTGATTTGGTTTTTGTTTTCGTGATTATAGAAGATCCGGTTATATATCTACACTCAAACACGTTTCTTAACTTTTTGAGACTTTTTCTGTGGAAAAATACCACTAACCAACAACGAAAATTTGAGAATTTTAGTGTATTTTAAGGAGTTGAAGTTTTTTACAACTTGTTTTATTTTTTTTTTGTTTTTTTTTTCTTTTACAATTTGTAAAAACGAATATGTAAAAAAAAAAGAATTTACATATTTACAATCTTACATTAATGAAAATGTATGTGGAAAGAAAATTAGAAATGAATTTGTAAAAAAATTTAGCTGTAAAAACTAAAAACATATTGAATAAAGTTGTAACAGGGAAGATTCGAACACAGTAAATTTTTTTTTTATACACAATTTATAGAGTTGTACTTTACAATACTTTAATATATAAAATGTTGTATATGTAAAAAATTTGTTGTGCGGTTCCCATTTTTGAAAGGATATTGTGATAAAAGTTGTAAAAACCCTGTAAAAGAAGTTCTAAAAATATTTTTAAAAAATTGTAAAAATTTAATAAGCTTATAGAAACCAAATTATAAAAGTAAATTTTAAAAAGGTTGATATAAGTTTTATATTTGGAAAACATATGAAAAACTCAAATTTATCAATAAACTATCTTAAATAATTTTTTAAAAATTTAATGTATAAACTCCTTTAATGATCTCACCAAACACTATAGTAAGGTAAGTTGCATAATTTTTAAAAAATCTAATTTATAAACTCCTTTAAAAAATCTATTTGTCTGTGTCTGCTGACCAAGCGAGAAAATATCAAACAAATTACAAACGATTGTGTATAGAGAAAATAGAGTACCATTATTTTATAATTTATATTATATTAAAATAAATAGCTGAGATCATCGAGTTATTGAACACTAGTAATGTGGTTAAGTAATAGTCAATAGATATATTATATGTGACGAGACCAAATTTCTAGATTTGAAAAAATATATATAAATAGTCCTTGGGTTTTTTTGGTATGGGTCATACACAAAACTTTTTCACTTATTTGAAAGTTATATTTAGATCACATAATGTTATTACATTAATTTGATAAAAATGGTATAAAATAGGTGGTGTATTTAAAGTTTTTTTTAAAGAACATCTTCATCCACACTTTATTTTTACCATTACACTTTATTTATGGATTTTAAATTAAATAAGGATTTCAACCCAATTCTATTTTACACTTTATAAATAGAGAAATAAATAGTTACATTTTAAATTTAGAATGTAAATTATACCATCTCCAATACAGTACTTTATTTTTACATTCTATCTTTAAAGTGTAAAACAGAGTTTAGAATGGTTAGGGATGCTCTAAAGCATTACATTATTTGTAACACTAAAAAAATATTACAAGTCCTTTTTCCAACTGTCATGGATTTTCAAAATCAACCTTTGTATTTATTAGTTTTTACAAACGGTATAAAAATTGTTTTTCTAAATTATTAAGAAAAATACTAGATATTAATAAGTCTGAAATATAGAAATTAAATTAAATTACATGATAAATTAATATCTATATAACTTGTAATATAATATCATAATAACAATATTAAATAGAGACTATTATTATACAAACAATAGATAAAAGTTGAAGAAATCCCAATTTATATGGTTGAAGTTTGACATATTTGGTGTTAATAAATAGCACAATACAATATCTGGGTGTTATATATTCACCAACACAAATTTTGGTGTAAATTTTGGATTTGGGTTATACAAAAAAATCTTATTAAAATTTTCCATACGACAGTTTTCTTATGTATTAAATAAATGATAATTATTTCTTTTTTCTCTTTACCCTTGTTTGTTTTAGTTAAGGCGCTAAACCAAGCACGACTAGAAGCAAATGTGAGGATGAAAGGAGTTCAAAGCTACGGAAACAAGTACCCAAACCCATACGCCGTCGTTTGTGGTGTGCTGCTTTTGCTATCATTTTTGAAATATATTTATTCGCCATTTAAATGGTTGGCACTTGGAGCTGTTGCTGTGGGCATTATACCCTTAGCTTTGAAAGCTTTTGCATCTCTACGAATTTTCAGATTCGACATCAATCTTCTCATGCTCATTGCAGGTAATACATCATTTATATTTATGGATGTGATATTTTGTGGATCATATAAATTCTATAACTAATAAATCATTTTTTATCTTTTGCAGTCGCTGGATCCATTGTCCTGAAGGATTACTGGGAAGCCGGCACAATTGTTTTTCTATTAGTTATATCTGAATGGCTGGAGGCAAGAGCAAGTCACAAGGTTTATATAATTACCTACCCCCCTCCCTCAAAAGCATGCAAATGAATATTCCTAATTAATGTTTAAAAAAAATGACGTGAATTTTTTTATATGTATAGGCGACTGCTGTGATGTCATCATTGATGAGCATAGCTCCTCAGAAAGCTGTATTAGCTGACACTGGTGAAGAAGTCAACACTAGCGAAGTCAAAGTCAACACAAGACTTGCGGTCAAAGCTGGGACCATGATCCCCATTGATGGAATAGTCGTGGAAGGGAAATGTGAAGTCGATGAAAAAACTCTAACTGGTGAATCGTTTCCTGTTGTTAAACAAGTAGATTCCATCGTTTATGCAGGGACGCTCAATCTAAATGGTATGCAATCATTCTACATATCTGTATATATATATTTTTTAAAGATATTAATTTGATTTGGAATTTTTTATTTTTATTTTTTTATTTCAGGTTATATTAGTGTTAAGACTACTGCTCTAGCTGACGATTGTGTGGTGGCAAAAATGGGAAAGCTTGTTGAAGAGGCTCAAAATAACAAATCTAAAACTCAAAGATATATAGACGAAATAGCCAAGTATTACACCCCTGGTAAAATTTTGTTATTTATATTTTCTTTTTGTTTCTAGGGATTTCTCGTTAAATATTTTGTTTGTGGTTTTTGGGTTTTGCAGCTGTTGTTGTGGTAGCTGCCAGCTTGGCAGCTATACCAGCTGCTATGCGAGTTCGTGACGTGGAGAAATGGTATCACTTGGCTTTGGTGGTTTTGGTAAGTGCATGTCCATGTGCACTTATCTTATCAACTCCAATTGCAGCATTCTGTGCATTGTCAAAAGCAGCTACATCTGGACTTTTAGTCAAAGGCGCTGAATACCTTGAAATACTTTCTGCTGTTAAATTTATTTGCTTTGATAAAACGGGAACAATCACTAAAGGAGAGTTCTCTGTCTCAAGCTTTAAACCGGTCATTCATACCGACAAATTGCTATATTGGTAAATTAGTTTTATGATTTCCTACTGGTTTGGATACCTTTTTTTTTTTTTTTTTTTTTTTTTAATTATTTTTTTTCTACTTATTTAATTTGGTTAGGGTTTCGAGCATCGAGAGCAAGTCGAGTCATCCAATGGCTGCGACACTTGTGGACTATGCACAGTCTCATTCAGTCCAACCACAACCAGACAATGTGGAGGAATTCAAAGATTTTCCTGGAGAAGGAGTTTACGGGAAGATTGATGGGAAAGATGTTTATATCGGAAATAAAAGGATCGCCATTAGAGCAGGCTGCTCACAAGGTATAAATACTTAGAAGTATAAATATATATTTCATAGATATAGTTTTTAGAAGTATAAATACTTATTTTTATATTTTTTGTAAATACTATGTATCTATACTTTTGAATACATAAAAATACCTATTTATACTTCTACAATACGTGTTTATATTTATATACTTCTAAAAATGTAAAATAAGTATGTACACTTCTAAAATACATACTAATATTTCTAAAAAATGTATTTATACTTTTAAAAAACGTAAAAATATGTACTTATATTTTTAAAAAAATATATAAATATGTATTTTTACGTTTTAAAAAAATATATTCAAAGTATATTAATCTGTCATTTAGAAGTAAAAATACATTTATACTTCTAATGTGAGGGTTTTCTTGCGAAAATAATATCATGGTAACTTGGAAAACCTGTTATAACATGTAAAACGGTAAAACGAAACAATTTTTGCAAATATGAACGCATTAATGAAAATAAAAAGGGAAATAAACTTATTAAGGTAATTAACTTTTCGGTTTGTTGACATCTGGGTAACTATCTTTTTGTGTACACATCTAGGTAACTATCTTTTTTTGTACACATATGACCATTATGACCGACAGTAGCAGGTTACATCCGGTCATAATGGTCATATGTGAACACGTCCAAAAAGTTCTTTACCTAGATGCGTACAACAAAAGATAGTTACCCAGATGTGACCAAACCGAAAAGGCAAGAGTAATTTAAACAAATGGTCCCTGTGGTTTTGGTAATTTGTGCGTTTGGTCCCTAACTTATTTTTTAATTCGGATGATCTACTGTTTATTTTTGTTGTGCGTTTGGTCCCTGCCTTATCTAAAAAAACTATTGTGCCCTTTTTAATTTCTTTTTTAATTAATTTTCTTATTTTATGTATTTATTTTTTATATATTTAAAAAAATTAATAGACCCCACATATCTGTATCTCCTCACCTAAGCCTGAAAAGCCGCCATCCATCTCTCATCCTCATCAACTTTTATTTCATTTCCATCTTTAGTGATATCGACGTCTTCACCATCCTTTCTTTTTTCGGTCATTCAACTCCGGCGAACCAACACCACAACCCTTCTATTGAGTTGTGGTGGTGGAAAATTCAATGAAGAGACAGTGGGTTGTGGGTGAGGAGATACAGATATATGGGGTCTATTAATTTTTTTAAATATATAAAAATTAAATACATAAATAAGAAAATTAATTAAAAAATAAAGTAAAAAGGACATAATAGTCCTTTGAGGTAAGACAGTGATCAAACGCACAACAAAAATAAACAATAGGTATCATCTGAGTTAAAAAATAAGTTAGGGACCAAGTGCATAAATTACCCAAACCACAGGGACCATTCGTGTAATTTACTCTTGCCTTTTCGGTTTGGTCACATCTGGGTAACTATTTTTTTTTTATACGTATCTAGGTAACGAACTTTTTGGAAGTGTTCACATATGACCATTATGATCGGTTATGATCAGATGTAACCTGCTACAGCCGGTCATAATGGTCATATGTGAACATGGTCATACGTGAACACTTCCAAAAAGTTCGTTACCTAGATACGTACAAAAAAAATGTACAAAAAAAAGATAGTTACCGAGATATGAACAAACCGACAAGTTAATTACCTTAATATGTCTATTTCCCAAATAAAAATAGGCAAATATAAGGACTTTTATGGCAATTCCCCTTGATTATTTGCAATTACAGTTCTGTTTTCTAATGTAATTCTTGAACAATCAATATTCTCAGATCTTATCAGTGATGAAAGGAATGAAGGGAGGTCGACAGGGTACATATTTGTAGGGTCTTCACTTTCCGGAATCTTTAGTTTATCAGATTCATGTCGAATTGGAGTACGTGAAGCGCTCCAACAACTCAAATCAATGGGAATTAAAACCGCCATGCTCACCGGAGACTCCCAATCCGCCGCCAATCACGCACAAAATCAGGTAATTCAAAATCAAAATCAAAATTCCCCTTCTTTTTTCCATTTCTTTCAACTCAATTTCTGAATTCACAGTTAGAAGGAGCATTAGACATGGTCCACGCAGAACTTCTCCCTCAAGATAAAGCCAAAATCATCAAAGAAATCCAAAAAGAATCCCCTGTAGCTATGGTGGGAGACGGGATGAACGATGCTCCTGCTTTAGCCACAGCAGACATCGGGATCTCAATGGGGGTGTCGGGGTCCGCATTAGCAAATGAGACAGGACACGTGATTCTGATGTCCAATGATATCCGGAAAGTTCCGGTAGCTGTAAGGCTTGCGAGAAGAACACGTAGAAAGATATTTGAGAATATTTTCATTGCTATGGTTACTAAGGCTGCTGTTATTGCATTGGCTATTGCTGGTCACCCGCTTGTTTGGGCTGCGGTTCTTGCTGACATGGGAACCTGCTTACTTGTCATTTTCAACAGCATGCTTCTGCTACAAGGTACAAACTCGAAAAGCAGGAAAAAGAATTCGGGTTCTTTACGTAACGATGCACAGTGTACATTTAACTCTATGGTTGAAGAAAAATGTTGTGATGTGGGTGGTGGTTGTGATTTAAAGGTTAAAGACGATTCTTGTAGTTCAGAGGTTGAAGAAAGTTGTTGTGATGGTGGTGGTTGTGGTTCAGAGGTTAAAGCCAAATGTTGTGATGTGGGTGGTGGTTGTGATTCAAAGGTTAAAGACAATTGTTGTAGTTCAGAGGTTAAAGAAAGTTGTTGTGGTTCAAAGGTTAAAGATAATTGTTGTAGTTCAGAGGTAGAGATTAAAGAAAGTTGTGATGGTGGTGGTTGTGGTTCAAAGGTTAAAGACAATTGTTGTAGTTCAGAGGTAAAGGTTAAAGAAAGTTGTTGTGGTTCAAAGGTTGAAGAAAAGTGTTGTGATGTGGGTGGTGGTGGTGGTTGTGGTTGGGTTGTCCAAGACAAGTGTGTGGGTGGTTGTTGTGGTCCTGATAAAAATGTACAAGAACAGAAGCAATTGGTACAAGGAAAAGGAACACACGGGTGTTGTGATGATGAGAACGACGAAATACAAGAGGTAAAGCCAGTGGTACAATCATGTAAAGCAAAAAACTCCGAAACAAAGTGTTGTAAGGTAAACAAAGATTTGGAATCACAGATTTGCGTTAAAGAGCAAGGAGAACGCAACACCAGTAATTCCTACATCAAGTTGGAGAAAATGGTTAAAAATTGTTGCAGGAGGCGTGGCTTGAAAAAGAGGAATGTTGTGAGTGGGTGTTGCAAGAGCTTTGCATACAAATGTTGTCGGTATGGACGCTTATCAGAGATTGTGATTGAGTAAATGTTTTCCAAGATTTCCCACTTATAAATATGTATTATAACGTGTACCATTTATATGTATATAGGCCTATGTATTTGTATTATAGTAATAACGTTTCTATGTATTTTGTATTTGTATTCAAGTTATGACATTTCTATGTATAGTAGCTTTTGTATCTATATTCAGGATTATAAATAATATGTTAGTAATTGGTTTATAAACTCCCATCATCATTATTGTCGAAATTACTTGAAGTATATGTATATCAGGGTTTATATTTCGATTGAAAGATATACTGATGAGAACTGTGAACATGGGATACAATACAGCAAGACCGTGTAGTTTGGCTATTGAGAACAAACATTACTAAATATCATGTAGACCTTAATTATTACATTTAAGGCAACCAGACAAAATACAAATCCTAGAATCAACAAATAAAAGCACTCCATCAACAATTTGTACATGTTGGTGTACCACCCTTGTATTTCTTTTCGAGACATTGGTTGTGATTTGTTTTTATCGTTCTTTGTTTTAATCTATGAAGTGTTGAAGGTTTGTGGTTTTAATTATTACATGGTATTATAGCTTTGGGCGAAGCTTTGATTCCGATTTCATTTTGATTTTTTAGTTTTACAAAAACCGACTAGGGTTTATAGTGTTCATTTATGATATCGTATTGACTCTAATCGTTTGGTTGAATCAAGTGTGTGCAAAGGTTTCTTTGTTGTATTGTGAAAGATTGGTGGCATCCTGAGTTGGAGTTACCTGAACAACAAATTAGGGTTTTTTCATCTCTCTTGGGTGATGTTCTTTGTTAGGTTTATTCGGTTTCTTTCACTGATCTAAGAGTTTGTGTAAGAATCCTTGGTGAGCAAGGTTAGGTTGTTCTTGTTTACTTTTATTGTTTTCTAATTCTAGGTTTACTATTTATAAGGCCTAATTTTGAGTTTATATGGTCTATCCTTTGTTGGTATGTATTGGAAAGTTCAAATCGACTATTGGAGTTTTATCTATTCGTGATTGAGTTCGGTTTTTCTCGCTTATTTTGCATCTTAATATTTGTAAGTCTTCTATATTGAGACATCTCATGTGGTTGATCTTTATGTAACACTTGATATTGCTTTGGAGCACTCTCTCTCTCTCTCTCTCTCTCTCTCTCTCTCTCTCTCTCTCTCTCTCTCTCTCTCTCTCTCTCTCTCTCTCTCTCTCTCTCTCTCTCTCTCTCTCTCTCTCTCTCTCTCTCTCAGAAGAGATAGACCAAATGACTGCAACCTTTGATAAGAAATTTGTTTGTTTTTTAACATCTGCATCTGCAGACTGTTGCAATAAACTGAAATTTAAATAAACTGATTTCACAAACTTAAAATAGTTTCATACTACAATAATTGTTTTGAGAATACACGTCCTAGACCATATATTACAAGTGATTTTTTTGTTAAATATATTGTATTTGTTCATTTAAATTATATTTCAATTCATTAGGCAGCAATCGTTTGGACATCATCAAGTCGAGGAGGATTTCTTGTTAAATCTGTTGCCGATGACGGAATAGAAAGGAGGAAGTGTTACCGTGCTTGGATCCAAGGAGCTGTTATCGATGAGTTTGTTAAAGGTGTTACCGATTTCTTGTTATAGCGGTTGTCTTCTCTACCATATTTCTTGTTAAAGCTGTTACCGATGAGTTTGACGGTGGTGTTTTCCGAGAGCATGCAAAGGTGGTGGAAGAAGGTTATTTATCTGATGATTTGTGTGTATAAGGTGTGTGTATTTTTAATGGTGGAAAGAGGTTATTCATCTTCCTTTACATCTTCTTGAAAATGCTAGCGATTATAGATTTTTGTTGCCTGGGATTTGCTTGAGAAAAAGTAATGTGAAAGAAGGTTGAATGATTATTATATGTTTGTTTAAATGGTTATATATATATATATATATATATATATATATATATATATATATATATATATATATATATATATATATAGAGAGAGAGAGAGAGAGAGAGACCCCTTGCATATGTTTCATTTTTTCTTTTTTCTTTTTTAAAATAAAGGAAAACCTCATAAATTGTCCTTGGGGTAGTGAAATTGTTACAACCGAAGAAAACATGTCACCGACCGCCATTAGAAATTAGCTAAGACAAATAAATGTAATATTACATTATATTGATTAATATATTCAAATACGCCCTTACGTATATGAATAATGCGACGAATAAGCTCAAAAATAGGTGCGTGAAAAGTTGTGTCACCTTAGAGACATGTTAAAATATTCGGGAAATACACGACAACATGATTCCAAAAATATAAACTTCGTTAAAATTTGACTTTGTATGAAGAACTTATGGTTTTTATTAGAAATAAAAATCAACCGCGTAAATAATTTTATGAAGTAAAAATAGTATGAAGATGTCGGTTAAGTTTTGGATAATGTCACAAAAAGGGAAGTCGTAGGACTCCTCAATATAATAATTTTGAGACAAAAGATGTCAAGATTGGAGCCCATATGGGGAAGTTATAATTTTTATAAAAGTCATTTATGGATACCCCCGTTAGGCCAAAAGATGAAAGTTTAAATTTGTCAAAAAAAAAAAAACTAAAGGAAAGGTGTAGTGCTAGTCGAGAGCATCATGTGGGTATAAAGAGGGTAAAGAATGGAGCTCGTACGCAAGAGATATGAAAATTTCAAAAACATTTTTGTGCGAGTGCCACGCACGACGTTCACACTGACACATGATTCACGAAGATTGTGGATGACGTGGCCCAGCGAGAGAGTGACACGTGGCAACGCCCAGTTCGAACCACGATGCACTTTGTGCAACGCGCACACTAAAAGGCGCGACGCGCGGTCCAAAACCTTGCTATAAATAAAAGTGTTTGTAGACCCGCTTTTGCACACCTCTCTCAAAGCCTCTCACTCCCTCTGTTCGATGCGCTTCAGTTTGCAAGAGGTCTCCGAGCTCCGGAGTCTCGATGCTACCCTACTACCGTGATTCACGCTACTATGGTGAGTTTACGGCCCTACTGTTACAAGTTTTTAAAAGTTTTAAGGGGTGGGAATACATGTCATAATACTACATTATCGATTTTAAAAATATTATTATTTGTAATATATCTATAGTTTATAAAATACATGAAACGTTAGGATGATATTATATATGGTAGTTACTCTGTCAATGTTTTAGGAATAATATTATACCTAGTCGTTATGCTGCACAATCCATAGGATGATATTATACCTGGTAGAAATTCTGCCCAAAAGTATATAATAATATTATAACAAGTCGTTATACTGACAGATGCTCTAGGGTAACATAGTACCTAGTTATTACGCTCGTCAAACCTAAGAATAAGTATAGTACCTGATTGTTACTCTACACTAATATCCTATCAAGAACATCAAAACTACGTGTGTATATATATATATATATATATATATATATATATATATATATATATATATATATATATATATATATACGTATCAGTATAATTATGAAAGAGAATCACATAAAAAAAAACTAAAGTCAACAAGATCGATAAACATACTATAAGATTAAACAAAACAGTTGTTAAATGAGAACAACACTATTTATCCTTTAGCTGATTAGTTTTCAGCAAACCCCGGCCTATAATCGTTAAATGTTAAATGATTGAGAAAGATATATATAAATCTATATGGGGCTGACACCCCCACTTGTGGTTGCTAGTTTCAACCTTGATCATCGAATCACAACTGACATAACTTTCTAAACTACATTATGACGTCTAATGAAGCATTGTGTGGGACAAATATCTAGTCGAAAGCTCGATTGTAGGAACTCATTGTAACAAATGTTCAACCAACCTTAATAAAATAAACTACGTAGAGGGGAACGCCTTGAAGTAGTAATAATATGTAGCAATAAACGAAAGGGGTGAAAAATCTTTAAAGAGAAGTTATAGGATAGTGCAAAAGGGGTGAAATATCCTACAAAGAATGAAAAATAGAATTTCATCAAAAAACTTAAAAGATAAAACTATTCTATGTATAAAACTATAAAAACATGTGAATTCACTAACATTATGTTGACGCTTTCAAACCACATGTATTATCAGGAAAATGAGCAATGGAGGTAGCCATGTGAAGGAAGATGTTATCAAGGAAGTGTCTGGAAGTCTCATTTGTTCTCTTATTTGTTTAGTGTTGTTAAGTTATGGTGATGTTCTTGTACCAGGAACAACGATGTAATCTTTTATAATAAAATAAAGAGTAAATTACACGATTCGTCCCTACTACAAGTGTCAAATTGCGCGTTTGGTCCCTATTTTCAAAAATTAACTCGGACCGTCCTTGATATAGTTACAAGTTACACACTTCGTCCCTAACATACATGAAATGACTATAATGCGTTTTTTTGTCACACCCCCAACCATCGGCGGAAACACCGGGTAGTGTAACGTCATTCTTCGTATCACAGTTATATAACATACATTGAACAGTACTAAGAAATACATACCTTTATTGATAATTGAAAGTTACATAACTGTTTTATTTCTAGAACCTATTACATAATATCCGACTATGGCATACTTATTAATGAATAGAAAGGTAATAATAAAACTTCTTCTGTTTGAATACGTACCAGCTTTTCAAGTTCCTGAAAACACATGCATTTTAAAATACATCAACATAAAGTTGGTGAGTCCACAGGTTTTGACTCCATAAAATAATACATTTTCCACGTTCAAAAGTATAGTTTTGAAAGTATCATTTTGACTCTCCAACGTTTAGTATATATATCCTAGGTATAATGGTTTACTTACCAAATAAGTATATACCTATAAGTCTCATATTTTATAAATATAAATGTTTGTAATTCCATACAAACGAAAGTTGCTACGTATAAATCTTATTTCAATTCAATACGAGTAAACCGCTACGTATAAATCTATTTCAATTCTATACGATTATGTGTGTTAGGTATAATTATTTACTTAATATACAAGTAGTACCTAGGGTATAAGTAGGGGCAAACTTATACTTAACATTAATACTTGTATACGACAAAGTATAATGTTTCTAACAATTTGCTACCATGAGCCTGTAACCGCTGCTATGACATAATACCTCTGATAAAACCCACTCATGATTTCCATGAGGAAAACCCACTCATGATTTACATGAGGAAAACCCACTCATGATTTCCATGAGGAACACCGCACGCTTCATCGATGCCGGAACAATAACAAGTAAAAGGATAGTTTGTCACTTGCTTATGGTTGACTGTAGCTAACAGTCACAAGCGAGGTGGTCAACCCGTGTACTAATTATACACGACTTCCTCGCTCACACGGGATTAACGGTTACAGTTCAGAGGATTTCCGCTAAGATCCCCAATCTTAGTTGATGAATACAATTACTCATGTAGACTTTGACGGCTTCCTATAGCTCTATCAACAAAAGCATCTTCATGTCTAAAACCCTAAGTTACTAGACTATGCTTTTAAACATTACTCCTAACTTCATAACATTTAGGCAGTATAACAGCTATAGCTTGAAGTAAAACCAGGTTTTATCTTGACATAAAACCAATAACAACAACATATAACATACCAAGTTTTATCTTGTCATAAAACTAACAATAACAACATACTTTATAAATTAACATATAGAACTTCCGAATATAACTTCGGAGCTATATCACACACAACATATATATAGAATCCTAAGTATAACTCAAGATCTACATTAGTATACTACTATAACAATAACATGCTAACAACTTTACGATAGTTGTATACTTTCAGATATGAAATAACTATATCCCGGTTATTATAACTATCTACGTTGATACTAATATACTATCATATAGATATAATAATAACGTATATACAATATTTAACAAGCGTTTTCCCCCGAAATATTAGAAAGTGGGGCCGTGAAACTCACCCTAGTAGTGTGATTTTATGTTATCTAAGCAGAAACGGTCAGCGTATGAGGTCGTCGGGGCTCGGGATGCAAGATGGCTTCAGCAAAGGAGAGAGGAGAAAGAATTTTAGGTGTAAGAATGGCTGAAGTCAGACCTGCTATTTATAGTAGGGATTTTGGACCCCCACGTCGTGGGTTTTATAAGGCCCACGTCGTGACTTTGGATCTTATCCCCGTAGACTTGCCATTTGCGTCCCTAGCTTCGGAAGGTGGCCATGTGACTCATCACGTCGTGGGATATCCTTGCTCACGTCGTGAGTTTGGATATTATCCCCTCGCAGCCTCGTCACACACCTTCTAGATTCCGAGACGTGGATAAATGACTCCTCACATCGTGAGTTCTGTGCTCACGTCGTGAGCTCAGTCAGATTAGGATTTCTGACAGCTGAATTTTCGGAAGGTCGTAACTTTCACATACGAACTCCGTTTTTGACGTTCTTTATATGCACGCGTAGGTATTTAAAATTACTACAACTCTCTTTTAGACTCCAATAGCTAGATCTAAGTCTATTTTAAATTCCTCTTATTATAGAGATTTATAGTGTTCGGTTTATCATAACTTCTTCAGATTCAGACATTCTCTATATTTTTGGAATCGTATAGACGTATACTTTGAGTTGTATCATAAAGAAAGTTCATATTTGTATTAGAATTTATCATGAACTACA